AATTCGCGACGTATGTAGGCGGGCAGAGTGAACAGGCCAGGGTGCGGCGGCGGTCGCGGCCGCCTTCGATTCGATCTGGACGGCCGCCTTTTGTTCCGTGTCGTGTTGCAGTATCACGAATTATTTCACGCAACATCACTTTGCCACGCGGGACGTCACGTCAAACTACGCGGGACGTGTAAAAATGCAACATGACTTGACAAATATTGCGCACTTATCGCGCGTCACAAAGCACGCGATATAGTACGCGAGATCGTGTGTTTTGCTAGCTCGAACTACGCGATCGAAATTATAGTCACTGTCGTTATGGCAATGAAAAAAATATTAAATTAATATAATATAACTGGTACGTATACATGGTGGACCAACAGAAATTTCTATGTCTATAGATATTACCATTTAAGTTTATAATAGTTAAACAAAAATGGAGAGAATGAGAAACATTAAAAAGATAGTAAATAAATTGATGTCCAAACGCATAGTTATTGGTTGATAATCAACAATTTAGGAGTACACATACATATGTGTTACTGTTTAGTGTAGAGGTTCAATTTCACATTCTATCGATAATTATAATCCATACTTTTGGGTAAGGTATTACAATAATACTGTAGGTATAAGGTATTGCAGTACCAACTCGCTGTATTCGTGTCTCAGTTGTCAGCTTCCTCGACACAGACATATACATCAATGTCAGGTTCGATACATCTTTCGTATCGCAATCAGAAACAGAATCTGTGCGATCGAATTATAGGAGAAATAATGGCATTGCCTTCCTCGACTACAGATCCGGATAAAGAATCGTAAATCAATCTTTTATCGTTTCGAGTTATCTTGACTTTCAGATTCGTGTGTGGCCGCTGCTTCGATAATAAACTCAGACCCTCAGTTCGTCGATTCTTAGACGTCTGTGATTGCAAATATTTTTAATTTTCTACACACGACAACTACAACTAAATGAGAACTAAATTTCCACGTTTCTTTAATCACAAAAAACAATTTCGAGGAAAGAAAAACAAGATCAAGCTGGTAGAATAAAATATATTTTTAAAAGTATATGTCAACTTCACACAAATTTAAGGATTCAGTAAAATGTATTGATTATTGTAAACTATATATAATAGCGATCGTTCATATGATATCTAAATATAAATTTACTAGAAACACTTAATGATTTGTAAACTATATATAATAGCGATCGTTCACATGATATCTAAATATAAATTTACTAGAAACGCTTAATGATTTGTAAGCTATGTATTATTTTAATTGTTTAATATAGTCTTTTGATTAGTGTAAACTAAAATCTATTAGGTGTATCAATGAGGAATTATATGTATATATATTTCTCTATTTTCGTTTGTCATAAACGTGGTGGAAGATATCGATGAGCAATAACGAATATTACCAAGAAAGCATATTTTTGATTACCTTGAACACAAACGTTATCCCTGCTAAAAACATATAATGTATTCCTTGAATAACAAAAATTTCATGAATACCAATATATTATACTACTGCATTGGTACACCTATATGTATACTAGCCAATACCAGCCTTCAATTCACTGGAAATCTTCCAACGACGTTTCTTATCGATATTCTATAATTCGAAATTAACATGACAATATTCCCGTTGAAACGAGGTGAGAATCTACGCCGATACTTCTCTAGTGCCAAGGTTCCATCGACTCCTAAATCATTAACGTGACCGACCGGCTCGATTCCTCTCTGAAACATTTCGAACCGCTCCTCAAGGAACAATCGATCCTTCAGGCGAATGAGGGGCGAAACTACCCCCTGACTCAACACTATCGACAGTCACGGACCTTATATCCTCTAAAAAAGTATTCGTAATCCATGGATTAAGTTAATAATCCCCGGTTAAACTTAATACTTCGCTCCCGAGTCGCGATAGATATTGCGGTTTAAGGCTCAATATTTAACGATGCCGGTCGGATCAGCTGGTTAGAACGGGAAAATGCAACTCGAAAGATTTCACCGATCATGGCAAATTCAGCAAATATTGCCGCATTTGTCCTGATACTTTCGAAAGCATTATTTAGTGACCAATATAATAGAACTTCTTTCTCTATTCTCCTAAAAAAAAGCAATGCCATGAAGAAGTTTTCTATGTTGCAAGCGCTGACGTAACATCATTAGAAGTCCTAAATCGCTATTAGTTAATGTAATTTTGGAAAATTCCAAAGTTGTAAATGAAAATTGCAAAAGTTCTTTGAGTTGTATTCGATTATTAAGATCTGGAACAAATAAATTAACTTTTTAGGCTTCTCAGACAGTTAATAACTTACGCATTATGATATTATCATTCCTTCTGGGTTGCAAAATATTTTATTTTATTAGGGATTATGCAGTCCAAACAACAAATCGATTATTTTCACTATACATATATCAGATTTGAAGGAAACAATTTATCAGAATAAAATGAGAGCTAAGTAGGTATGCTTCTAAGAGAAAGTTTATATTTTATTATTTTCTACAGAAACTTTAAGGGGCGATTCTGGAATGTCCAAATAAAATGAAAATCTGGAATAACGAAATTGTGATGGACGCTTGGCTTTCCAGTTATTAACACTAAAAATTTGGGCCAGAAACGCCTCAAACCAGACAATACGCATGCAAGCTATAAACGTATGATACGACAGGACCAGTATATGCACTGGCGTCGCTTGAAAAAAAAGCAACTTTACCTCGTAGCAAAAAAAGTGATGTCCAACACCTGCATTCGAGCCTGAACTGCTTTCTTTGCTAGACCTCACGAAAAAGCACATACGTATCGTTGTATGACACAAAACCTGGTTACTCGTTTAGATCCACAAGGGAGGCCACACCACACACTTGCACAGAATAAACAATAAATAAACTAATTTAAACTAAACTAAAACTCACTATAATAAATTAAATTAATACTATAAAAAATACAGGCGCTTTTCGAAGGCTATTTCGCGCCGATTAGATATGTTCCCGTTGACGACTGCCATCAAACTGAGGAAACGTTACTCAAGTTCTATGCAAAGAACAATGTCGAATAATCGTCTAAACAATGAGTGGGCATAGTACCCACTACCTGTTCTTCGGTAACGTCACCAACGGCCGCGAATAACCTGCAGATGTTGTATTGTTGGGATTGTACCCAGGAAAACGTACATATCACATGTTTGGCTGCGAAATAAAAGCTCATTTTTTTCAGGGGACGGCAAGATATTGCGTTTTTCGTTTGTAGGCAGATCGCCTGATTTCAAGTGTTTTTGGCGCTAATTTTTCATCGTTGATAACTTGGAAATAAAGCTTCCAAAACAATTTCGTCATTTTTCATTTTCATTTTATTTTGACATATAAAATCGCTCCTTAAAGTTTCTGACACCAGGAGCTGATCGTCCTGTATAATAGTTAGCTCCTGGAATAATCCACCTGGTGGTTTAAAGGTTCGTCCTAGAGAATTCGAAATATGTTACCGTAGAATGCCGATTAACCGAAGTAATAAGGAGACCACCAATTCTAATAAGCGGGTTTTCGGATATAATTGGTCTAGAATAATGAAAGTTGCAAATTTATCATAAACTACTAGAAATTTAACAATTTTGAAACATTATTTTAAAGATTCGACAAGGTATTTTCAACTTCACAGTCTAATAGAATAGTACACATAAACCTGAAATTACTTCAACGATGTCATTCTATCCGTCAATTGAAGCAGGGGAAACAATATCACTATCTTTCTTAATTTACTGTCCATTTTAAAATATTTCTGCATAAATATTCCTATAACTGTAATTTTTAAATCCAGTAAACTATATCGCCAATTAAAGCGTTGCATAATTTATTTCAAGCACGCTCAAACGTAGCAGATTGTATGTTTCTACGTATTTTGTTCAACATTCAGATAGAATCTTCTAAACTAATTTTTTTATGAAATATTCGTGATGCATTCTCTGTTCCTATAAGCGGTACTTGGGATGATGGGAATTCCGATAATCGACATTAGAATAATCGATATTCTACCGTAATTAATATTAGAAAACACATCTATTTAACCTGTCAATCGAGGAAGACAAGTTAACTTATCGTTGACATTCCACTCAATCATCGAACTTTTCGGTTCGTTAAACATGTACCCAATAATTCTTGTATCTGATTCCACCCCAAAATCTACAAATGAACTGCACTGGACACACATTTATTGAGCAAAATTATCGTCACATCGATTTCGTTGATCGCGAATGATATCTTTATAGACGTTTAAGACTAGAAAATCGCCCGGTTAATAGTTTTTGGGTTTCCTAAAAGATCTCATATCTGGACCACATAGTCACAGTGTATTAAGTACTTTTAAGAAAAATTACTTTTCACATGTTTCTCGTATCAAATTTTTCACAGTTCCCGATAATAAAACTTATTTCGTTCTAAGTCGGTTCAATATAATAGTGTGTAAATTATAAATCTATACCTTATTCCGAGCTAAACAGTCTAAAGTCCCTCACATAAAGGAACTTCATGCAACGTTCACTATTTCTACATATCGATACTTCTCTTAAGTCCATTCAATATACTAAAGGTAGTGACTGTTCCCGTTGAATTTACACCGAACGGTTCCAAAGTTACAAGCTTTTCGCACCTATGATTCGCTCTCCCCTAAAGTTTGAAATGTGTGACTTAATACACTCTAGCTTTAGGATCCAGATACAGTAAATGGTGCAAAACTCTTGCCACTCAGAGCTGGTTAAACAGAACCTCACCGTGTATTCAATTGGAATCAGCCTTCTCTGAAACTACGAAATCTTTTTTTTCCACAAATGGTGGAGAACCCGTGTTTCGGGTCAGTGAGACAAAATCGCAGTAGTCTCGTCCGTCCCGCGGGCGTAGGGTAATTGGCTGGCGTTTCGGTTCGGCATAAATTGGTGCAAAAGATCGTAAATCAAGGGACGAAGGGAGGAGGGGGAGTGTCCAGGGGTTCGGTCGTAAATAGCCGGGGATACTTACAATACACAACCATGGAGGCGCTCGCGGATCGCTCGTCCGCGAAAGTGGATATGACGCACGTGTAGTCGCCGGTAAGATCGATACCAGGCTTATTCAATTTCATGGCTCGGTACTTGGTGTACGGATCGTCGCTGGCTTCGTACATCAGGTCGACGTACTTCTCGGTTAGCTCCCCGGCCAACGGGCTCCTGCCGTATATCCATTGGTAAGCCAGTTCGTTGGTGTTGAAGAACCATTTCACGACTAATCCTTTGCTGGGCGTGTTCTCGAAATCGTAGTCGCAGTCCAGGATCACGTAATCCGTGTCCCCAGCCTTCACCGTCTCCGGGACGTTCACGCTTTTTATCATGAGCTGCCAGCATTCTGCAAAAATTGTAAAGAGACCACCGATGAGCAAGAGCGAGAGATCGTCAGAAAGAGAGAGAAATAGAAGGAGGAAGAAAGAGGCTGTCGTGGGGATCGATTTCTCGGTTGTGGCGGGAAGAAAGCTTTTTCCTTTCCTCGTTTCTACGGTTTCGCGCGCGCAGGGAGGATCCGTGCAGCTAAGGAACATCGACTCAGGGATGAAAGTGGCGCTGAGAGAATTGGACCTGCTACTGCCTCTGTTGCCGATCCTCGACGGGGAAGAATGAGCCTAATTTTACTTGGAAATATGCGGGATGTTGCGTTGGGAAGATCGGTGATGAGTAGACTGCGGATGTTTATGCATTTATAACGTTTTTTAATTTACCGAAGGTAGTGAAGTAGTGTAGCAGATTTGAGTCATAATGGCGAAAATATAATGTAGCTCTCATATCGCAAGATCAGTTAACCTATTATGGACCAATCAGTGAAATAATGCGATCTTTAAACGTAGGATTTTTTGTTCATTGCAAAATTACATGCCTAAGTGGAAAAAGGAATAACGACGACAAAATTATTATGCAAGTCTATGGACATCTCTTTCGTAAGCACAATATTAAAAAACAGTATTCATTAATGTAAATTAATTGACAAACAATTACACAATAATTATTCATTTTCTGTATGACACCACTGTAGGTATTTCAGAACCTAATTACCCCACAATATTGTATTGACAGTAGTCGATGCGATGTACAAGAAAAACATTTTAGTGTACGAAAATCTTTAATATAAGAAATAAAAGTCTGTCTAATTTTTTATCTTTGTACATTACTATTAAACATTATTAATTTATATAAACTTCCGTAGTCTAGTGATGAATTATGTTTTTGATAGTGTAGTTAGAGGTGAATAAAATTCGACGTGGAAATGGAAAGATTGTTACACAGTTGTTGTATCTTTTTTACATTTTCTGAAAAATGTATATTCTATGGTAATTGGGTACAAGTAAAGAAAAAGGTACTCATGACTGATATTAATACGAAGACTTAGATTTGTTTCAGTACACTACTTAATCTTTATTCTCGTATATTTGAGAGAATCGACTGAATATTGTGTCGTATATTAAGTTACATGAGTTAAAATAAAATAAATTGAGCAGAACTCCTACTGTTACTATTAATAGATCCGTTCTGCAAATAATTAATAACAATAATACAGCATAATATAAACGATGGGTAAGGCCTTTAATAGTTCCAATTCTTCTTGTGATTTAAATTAAAGTCTTCCAGAAGTGGATGATACTTAAACACATTTTATGGAAAATCAGTTCGGGTTCTGAATTCTTCGACGGTAAATCGATCATTTTTATAGGAGTTCACAGGGTCACAAATTATCCCGTCCGCGGACGAACTTCATTAACTCTTGACATTTGAAGGCTCAACAACGCCATCACTCGGATCATTAACTTCTCCACTGCTCTAAGATAGTCTGCAAACTCTGCGCCATAAAGGAAATGTATTATCGTGCGAGAGAACCGTAATTCTTCCATTATAGAAAAATCAATCGATCCACCAGACGTCTGCTCGAACAGTTCATCTCCTTTTATTAATAGTTGCCGACAGGTACGCATTATCGTACTGGTCGTATTGTTCAATTTTCTGCGACAAACTCAAGATATATAACACCGGGGAGTTGAAATTTAGCGGCACTAGGGAATATAATTGCTTTGAATTTTAAGTGGTGAAATTCTAGATTGGTTACATCCCCACCCGGCTAGCCCCCGTTTGGTGTTCCACCAATTATTGTACAAATGAACGCATACACCGCGGTGATAGGAAACGGCGCATAATAAATGACGCGAAATGGAAATTACTGTTTAACTGCTATGGAGAACGTCATCGCGATATTGTCGTAACGAGATGGTTGTGTAATTATTCATTGTGGATCGATGTTACCTTCAGCGCTCGACGAGCAACTTTATATGGACTTATAGAATCTATTTTAACACGATCTTTAAGAGTAACTTAATAACAGAATTTTTCTAATCTTGGAATGATTGCACGAAGAAAAATATATCAACGAAGTGAAAAGAATCATCTGAAGTAAGTGCAAAGATAAGTATTTTTTGTATGATTATACTGCAGGCTTAACATAGCACTGACAGCGAAAGAGATCTAGAAAAATAGGACTGTGCAATGTCAGACATTTATAATATTCCTCGTCAAATTTGTCTGGTACTTGTCATGTGAATTGTGTTATGCTAAATATACAGAGTGTCCCAAAAAGATGGGACAATCCGCAACATGCATATTCCTCATGCAAATGCGAATCGAAAAGTCATTTACCGTTTTGTAATCTGAATCTCTATTTCCGAGATATCAGCAGTTAAACGAATTCACACGTTCTTGACGATGATTTTTGACTGTGTCTGCGCGTACGTGTGGCCCACCGCTCAGCTGATTGGAGTTCATTTAACTGCTAATATCTCGGTAATGGAGCTCCAGATTACTAAATGGTAAAGGACGTTTCGATTTGTATTTGCATGAGGAATATGCACGTTGCGGGATGTCCATCTTTTCGGGATACCCTGTATAGTGTAGACGCAACTACAGAAACAATACACAGTAAACGCATCTGTTTCCCCAAATAAAGAAGACCACGTACCATAAATCCTGTACAAACTTCTCAGATATTCAGCGCACAATAGAAGAAAGAATAAAGTTTGGCCCATCAAGCACCAACGTAACACCATGGAAACATCTTTGTCGGTCTCATCTCTGATGCAACTACCCTTACAAGTCACGTCGCCGGCAATGTTACAGCACCGGGCGTAACAGCCACTTCCTGCGGCCGCAATGATTACAGAAAACAAAAAGAAAACGGTCGACGGTGATAATTATGAAATATCGTCCCACGAAAGAAACTCACCAGCAGCGCGAGGGCTGATGATAAAAAAAATTTCCTTCGTCGCGGCTCTGTCTCCACCCATTTCCCAACCGGAAGGTTGGTATTTTTTTGCCGCCTAAACGTTGGTGTCTCACTTTTTCGCCGAACTGGAAAGTTTTCAAGAGGGGGTAGAGCGGTGGTGGGTGTAGCTGGAAGCTCGGCCGCTTTGTCCACGACGAAAGTTGGTGGAAATTTATGTGGCGGGTGTTGGGGCCGTGTGAAAATTTTCACTTTTCATTGGGCCACGTCGCACCGCCGCCCGGGAGAACTTACATACACAAGAGGTAGGTATCTGTACGGTGACAAAAGTTAGTCGACCGCGAAACTACGCGGGAAAATGTTCCGTGGTGACGGCGCAACGTCGCCCCGGAATTGTGCATGATCATACCCTTCGGCCATCCTCGATCGCGGTTCCGAATTTCCATTCTAATCTTGTCGCTGCCGCACAATGCTCGCACAATGCGATCCACTCGATTTTTCGAATATCGCGCGGAAATTATCGTCGTGGTTTCGAAATACTGGATTTGATTCAGACAGTGAATTGACTAAGTGGTGGAAAATGATTTTCAGATGTATGGCTACGTGCATGAAGCATTCTAATATATATGTAGTGAGGAATTGTAAGTTCCTTGCGAAGAAGTAACGAGTTTATTGTAAATCGAAAGTTGATGTACAGTCGAGGACGTTCATAATAATTTTTCGTTAATTAATATATATCGTACCTGTTATGCCAGATCTATGAATGGGATGAATGATAATTAATTCCTCATTTTTTTAAATTTACTTCGATTGTGATAATTTATTGTTTCATTTTGAAGTTACCTTTTCCTTTCGTTCACATATTAATGTCTAAAAATAACAATGTTTTTTCTTAATCTACTTACCAAATTGTCATTTCTGTCTGAGATTGTTATACCGTTTTTCAACGACGAATTAAACGAGGAGGGAATAAACAAAAATTATTTTGCAATTTTACTTCAATTTGATCAAAAAGCTAATAATATTTGCAAGAAAATTTCAAAAATCCTGATCTTCAGAATTACCGCATTGAAAAGATTGTTTATGACTACTTTGCATATATTACACACTGCTATTACAAACTTCTTAATACTTGAAGGATAAAGTTATTAAATTGAATATATAAACCATAACTTAACACGGTTATATTTATTATTCCGCTTATGTGAAAAATTCATGGTATTATTTTATACAGTCTTTTATTGTCGGAAGTTCCCAAATTACACTGACAAGTTTTCTGATCGTATTGAAGGTATCTGGATGAGGCAGCACGTCTTCCAGACAATTCTGCTTGCTCAAGTATTTTTAGAAAGTCAGCTTTCTACGAATTAATCTACCACCCCACACTTTCTTCCACGTAATACTTCAGATTCACCTTATTACCGACCAACCCTTGGAATTGGGTTCGGCCAATTTAATCACGTTCATACCGAGGGAACAATTTCTTTAAACGAGAACACTCAGTCAAGTGGGTATCGAATACTAATATTTTATGTTAAAAAATAATTCTAGCTGCTTAAGTCTCTCCATGAAATATGATCTAGAATGATCTGTTTCCCATTATGAGTGTCCGATCGATAATGGACGTTCGATTAATCAGAAGTTGCAAAATGTTTGATGTATGCAATAATACAACTATTACAGACTGATGGCATTACATAAGAAATACATACAGCTTTCATTCATGAAACATTGGTGACTTACTTTCTCCAGTAAAGACGCTCAGGAGAGTTATGTTAATTTATCTGTAAAAAAAGCCAGTAGACAACGATATAAGCTTAATAAGGTTGCTAGATAACCATGTAAAGTTAGTAACGATAATAAGCGGCATAAACTAAATTTTTCTTATTTCCAGAAAATTACTCCTCTCCGGTCAATTTTGACGCATTTTACCTCACAGGGCTCTCTCCACGAGTTTCCACCGAATGCATATCCTCATTCTGCATGAGCGCGCACATATTTTCCTCGAGCAACTGGTTGGATTCCCTAACGTAACTTAAAACTAACAAGGGAGGATCTTCAGAAAAATTTTTTCTTTAAATTATATACTTTCA